ATCGTAAAGATAATATTTCAGCCAAAGTTGATTCTTATATAAGCTAGATGGACATACAATGTACACCATTCAGATGAAAAAGCCGCCAAAAAGATTTTATTTTCTGCGTAAACATGTAAAATGGTGGCAAAAAAATATTCTAGCCACTAAATTTTTAAGAGGAGTTTTCCGTAAAAGTCTCTCGACAGTTTTAAATAAAGCTTTTGAATGTCCAAATGCCTATGTTTCTATTATTTTTTGAATGTTGTGCATGATTTTGAACTTGGAAATATACAGAAAATCATGTTTGCAATCAATAAATGTTGTGATTCGAACCACGTCAGTAGGGTGTACCTGCATTCAAATGTCGGTATTCTAGATCGAGACTCAAAGGCTTTATCTTTTCCAATAACCAAGCACAATTTATTTTCAGTTTTTTAATATTCACGTTTATATCAGTACCAGAATTTTTACTTTAAATAATAAATTGTATCCACTATTAAGACTTCTATCAAATTCATATTTCAGTGAATAACTTATCATCTGAGCGAATACATTAAGATAGAGTCAATCATAATCTTTACTTTCGAGATGTATGATTTAATTGAAGTAAACTGCCCAGCAGTTAGTGTGGTAAAAAAGGCAATTATAGTCGATGAAGAAGTATTATAATATTTAATTTCATAGTCTACATCACAGTCTTAGTTAAATAAAGATTGAAAGCCAAGACTAACTGGACATCTCTTTAGTCCTAGTAATCAGATCTTTAGCAGTGTATAATCATGAACCCATTAAGGATCAAACCCCATACCTTCAGGTTTCTCGGTGAACACTTAGCTTTTAGATCACTGAGCCGAAATCAAATGATTAAAATGTCTAATTGTGTATATTAACTTGTTTATTTTCAATTGTGACAAAAAAACTATTATAAGCAAAAATGGATGGTGGCTAGCAATGGATATATCATGAGCATTTCGTTCTATCTGGGACTCGTCAGCTGAATGTACCTACATTCCAGAGTTGATGCTCACTCCGGGACACATATACCAATAAGGGACTGATCAATTGCAGTCCTAAACAATAATGGGAATATTCAAACAAACAATGCAACATGAATTGAAAAAAACTATTATAACACATGTGTATCCATTTTCCAATGAAACAGTTTCATGATCATAATCATAGTTTATATTTACTTGGTATTGTTTGCTTGAATCTTCCCATTGATGTTTTAAGGACTGCAACTGGTCAGTCTCAAATTGGCATATGTGCATACTGTGCGTATTGCCTCGATATAGCCTAAATTCACAAGCATGGTAAGCAAAGATGGATAGTGGCTAGCAGTGGAATCCAGGACGCGCGTTTCGTCCTATTTGGGGCTCGTCAGCTGGATGTACCTGCATCTCAGAGTTGATGTTCACTCTGGGACTCGAACCCAGTAACTTCACCCCATTGCACAAGCAAGTGGCTATCAGGACTCAGTGGCCGAATAGATAACGCGATGGCGTTTGAAGCGAAAGTTACTGGGCTCGTGTCCCAGAATGAACATCAACTCTGAGATGCAGGTACATCCATCTGACGAGTCCCAAATAGTACGAAACGCGCGCCAAACTGTATTCCACTGCTAGCCACTATCCATCTTTGCTTATCATAGTTTATGTTGAAATATACATGGGTAAATAGAGTAGAATTTAAATCTTTTGACTGTTTGGGTATTCAGTTAAAACAATTCTCTCTCTTACATGCACACAGACAGACTCAATCTATCTATACAAAAGGTTCAAATATATCAACACATAACAACACGATCGACTGTAAACAAGTTTATAACGTTGATTATCTATTGACTGATTTGATTAGCTTCTTTATCGCGGACTAGTTTTTTTATTTATTTATAAAAAATTTATATCATTGATAAAGTTAGAGAAACACAACAATATCATTATCATCACTGTATGTGTATAGTTGTAAATCAGTACTTCCTGTTGGAAACGATTGAAGGAAGTGAAAAAAAGGATGTTTCCATCAATTGTTCTTGTTCTTCAATGAAGAATTGTTATTGTTTAGAGAATAAAAGTCTAACTTCTCCAAAGTCTGTTTATTAAATCATGGAAGTAGAAGAACCATGTAAACTTGAACATTGACAGACACTGAGAATAATGTAAACAAGGAAAAAAAATTTCAGTCAGTTTTATTTTATAAATAAGCCGTTTGAGATAGATGATAGTGCTAACATTATTTATTACAAAGTCTTTTTTCATAATTCGCATCACAGATTGATCATAGTTAGGTAACCATTTGTTAAACAACAATTATGTGCTCACTAGTGACTATCTGCAAATTTTCGGAGTTCTAGTGAGGTGTGATTGGTGGAGCTAAACTGCGTCATGTAAGAGGAAGGTATCCACCGAAGACTATGAAGGATGGTAGGGAAATATCGTGGATTGATTGAAGTTAGACTTGTACATCATTGAATATGTCTCAGCGGTCTAGAGGTTAGGCATTTGTCACTAGAAACAGGTTCCTAGGTTTGATCGTCTATGACAGGTCGTGGATTTGCACCTCTGTGCAGTCCCATACTAAGACGAGATAGCTGTGGAGTGCTTGCTGACTTTGAATGGTCATCTAACTCCAGTCGATTCGTGATCTTTTAGTGGCCCATTGATCTGACTCCAATTTGAAAGAACGAATGAATATGCCATGAATACAAATCGTCCTATTTACTCTATATATTAGGCTGATCTAACCCTGTTTGAGCGACGGTGGTAGTAAGAAGTCAAATACGGGTTGAGTTGGATCAATTTATTTCAGGCTCTTGTTTATTCAGACAGACACCAGGAATGAGAGGCGGGAGCGCAAAATAAAGTAAAGCGGGGAAGGCAAGTGAGCCAACTCCAATTTTGATAAGGCGTGACTCATAATTTATAAAAGGAGGAAAATAAGCTGAAGACGTGTGATGAATAGGGTAAGCGAGATTCAAACACGCTCATGTTTAAGCAGCAAAGGTTAGTAAGCGAATAATGGACAAAGTCAAAGTATGACTGAAGAAGAATAAATATTTGGCCTGTCTCGAGGCGAGGATAACCCATGTGGGCTTGACACAGTACTAGACACTCCAATCTCAATAAAATCACTGAATAGCTGTTTAGTATGGAACTTGTCATCAGTGAGAGTTTATTACATTTTTCGAGGATCAAAGACATTACGCCCTGGTCTCATATGCTCAGTATCTGATGTTTTACATTTCTAAACTTAACTAGTCTGTCATATTACACAACCATCATCCAATATCATTGGTGGGTAATTTTTTCATATCGGACATCTTTAAACTTCGCTGACCACAATGTATCACTTGAAATACAGTAATAACTCTCCAAAATTAGTCACTTGTGAGCACTTTGATTTATATACAAGAATTATATTGGTTTAAGTAACTATAAATACGTTCTAATCTTTTGGATTTTAGGAATCAGTAGAGATTTAAGATATGAACATACATGGACTTATCAAAAATAGGATTAGTGAATAGAAATCTGTTAGTAACTATCCTATAATTTTCACAGTTAAAATCATGAGTCAATTGAAGCTACTAAATACTAAATACTAAAATACTAAATTCTCCACAAAACCCCCTCTGATCTATAATCATATGCTCACTAGTGACTGACTTCAGGAGATATTTCCTTGAGTTCTAGTGGGAAGCAGTGGCCAGTGGAGTTCAACCAGGTCTGTTGTAGAGATATCATCTCACTGAAGACAATTGGTGAACGGTCGCTCAATATCGTGGATTGGTTGAAGTTAGACATTAACACCGTTGGACGCCAGCTCAGTGGTCTGTCGGTTAATGGCTTCGGCTCGAGACTGGTAGGTCCTGGGTTCGAATCTCGCTCGCGAGAGCGGGTTCGTGGATGCGCACTACTGAGGAGTCCCATAATAGGACGAAACGGCCGTCCAGTGTTTCCAGGTTTTCGATGGTGGTCTAGCTTCAATTGACTCATGATTTCAACTGTGAAAATACTAAATTCTCCACAAAACCCCCTCTGATCTATCCTATAATTAATTATTAAAGAGTGGAATATGATAGAATGTTGGAAAAATTAACAAACGATATAGACTCAATATTTGCTTATTTCGATGGACGATTTCTTTTAACAATTATTCATAATACAAATTTTTAAGATTATTTTACTTCAGTGAAAGCAATTTAGGAATAGTTGTAAAAGTTTGTAATTATACTCGTTGTTGTTTCAGAGGATTGACTTTTGATTAATTTATGTTAGGATATGTTAATCCTCAATAATATCATCTTGTTATAGATTTTATTGTGGATAGTAGTGGAATCGAAGTCTCCCGTATTGTCCTAGTTAGAATTCGTCAGCTGGATATATCAGCGTCTCAGTGTTGTTCAAAGCATAAACCATCTACTTATATCTTTAAACACTAACGCGTTATTCATTGGAATGATGGGTTAAGATGATAATCTACTTAGCTGGAATAAATTACTTTGTTAGAATAAATCGGTTTCACATATGGTTTAATGGATCATTTGTTATTAATTACTTTATTATCTGCTAATATTGATTTCTGGTAGTCGAAGACAATCGGTAGAAATTTCTGGACCTATGTTTTAAGTTATTTAGGATTCTTTAACTTAAGATAGCTGAAATCTTGAGAGGGTGTATGTTATCTGCGGAATTCGGACTAGTATGACTAGTGTGACCATCGAGCTATTCGCTTTCGAGATTGATCGATTTGTTTCAGTCAGAACATGAAACTGGTTATCTGTTTACAAGAGAATGAAAAAATATACCTACATATTTGACTTGGTTTTAGCCGAAACAGGTGTGACATGAATCAAATGGAATATATAAAAGAATATTACGAAAAATGATACCCTATTACTGTTTTCAACATTTTTTGTATATTCATATACTACTATCTCATTGTAAGTAGTTAAAGTGAAATTGAAATATTTATCTGTTGTCACCTTACTAATTTATATTCGTTATTTATTTCTGAAGGATCAGTGGATGAACAGCATTTGGCTTTACGAAAATCATATTCTTCCAAAACTCTATTTCAACAAATCGCATGGAGAAGTTTAGATAATTCTAGACGACAAAAAAACATGCTAACTGGGGATTATGCGGAACCGCTTTGGGCAATGGTTTTAGATAAGAAAATGGAAATAAATCATATACCAGTAAGTAAAATTATATTTAAATTTTGTCAGAGTACTTACCATAAGAAAACAAGACCACAAATTAGTGGCCTGAAAATCAGAACATCCAAAAAGTAGATGAAGCGAGATAAGAAGAGAAATCATAATCTCTAACAGATAGTTAACACTTGCATAGTAGGATAACCTGACTTTAGGTGGTAGGAAATAATTAACCAAAATTATTGAGCCCAGCTTTTACACTATTCGACACTGTCAGTAGAGCATATTTTCAACCTTGAAGTAAAGATGCTAACAATTGGGTTTCGAAACAGATTCGTCATCCAGTGTCGTAGTTTGAGATTTAACCATTGAGGTACTCGGGGTGTGATTAACTTCTGTAGGACTGAGGTATTTACATTATTCGACACTGATTTGAAACCAACTTGATGTTTGACTAATTCTTGAAAACGACTTAATTCTAATGACCTTTTTATGGTACGGATTTAAATCCTATCGTGAGTTTTAATTCTCCAGGATTGTAGTTAAGATATTTTAATGCGTGGAAATTAGTTCGAAATGACAGTCCGTTGTTTAATGCTAAATTTCTCAAACTATCTATTATCAAAAATAGTTCGTATAACTTCAAGCCACTTTAAAAAGTAATAGACAAACCTTAACTAGTGCTGCTGACATTATATTAATTCCTACTCAACGATCATTAGGTGTACATATATAACAGTATTTTTGTGCTAATTCAGCTGAATAGTGTTTAGTTTATAACTGTAGTTTTAAGTAGACTCTGCTGTAAGTCATCAAACTAACACCACTTTGAAACACAGCAAATCCTAAATTTCAGTAATTCAACTCTTATTTTTAGAGCTTATTAGCTTTACGGAATAACATAACAATATTGAATGTAGGAAATAAAAAGAATACAGACTGAAATATCACCAATCAAATGTATGTTAAGAACTTACTGCTTTGTAATGTTTACCAAGATGGATATGATTGTTCGTGGAAATGCCATAATCGAACTAAATAATACTTTGTATGGTGTTTCTAACTACGATTATGTAAGTGAGGCTAAAAATGTAACTTCTAAGATGTATTATACATTAACATATATTAATTTGATGCACGTATCATGGTATAAAAAATGACAACATTGAAATCCAATGACATTAAAGCATTTTTCCATGTATTTTTAATAAGGTTAGAACATTTCGATTACCATAATTTTATTTGAAAACCGGCCGTTTCATCCTATTATGGGACTCCTCAGCAGTGCGCACACACGATCCCGCACTCGCAAGATTCGAACCCAGGACCTACCAGTTACGAGCCAGAGCCCTTAACGGCCATCCAGTGCTTCCAGGTTTTCGATGGTGGTCTAGCTTCAATTGACTCATAATTTCAACTTTGAATTATACTGAAATCTCCACAAATCCCCTTCTGAGTATTATTTCTAATGGTTATTCTATCATTCATTTATTTTGTATTTGTTTTTACTCAATCTAACTATAGATATTGTCAGTAGTTGAGGAATGGAAAAAAATCTAAACCGTTTTATCTATACCACTTTTTAAATAAATCCTTACATTTTGTTACAAGTAAATGCAAAGAACTTAAGTGACTATTTAGTGTTCTTATCCTCTAATGATATTAATAAGAATGATATTTTGGCAAAGAAAAATTTTCCTCTCGACAGTAATACTTCTTAAAGCTTTAAAACTGTATCCATAATTTGTTTATATTGGTCGTTTGAAACTTCATATTTATGTTTAACATTTTAATAGATTAGTTTCTTTTGGGATATGTATATCCAGCTGATAAGTCAAGAATAGGATGAAATGAACTTCTTGGATTCCACTGATAGCTACCGCACATATCTGCTTAAAAAGTTTCTTTAGTTATTTAACAGCCATAATGATCTATTGGAAGGTGTGATAAAGCTGTTTGCTATATTGTCTGAGGATACCAAATTCCAGCGATAGTTCAGTGAAGTTACAATTCAGCAAGAGCTTTTCATACATTGAGTCTTTGTTTTTGTAGTTTTCAAGTTTATCACTTGTAGTTGGCCGACAAATGATGTGCCTTGTTATTTTTCCAGTCGTTTGTATAGTTACGAATTCAGCTATTTTCTTGGAGGAACTCATATTGGGAGTATTACAGGGCAACCAAGTCAAAATATTAGCCATATTCTCCCAAATATTTTGAAGAGAGTCAGTTATTCCAACGAATATAGAAAAAGTGAAGAGTTTCAAATATATAACGGTGCACAGTTTGTTTCATGATAAAACACATTTGAAAAAATATATCAACCTACTCTAGTATCTTATAATCTGTCTTTTGGTAATCGCTGTATACAAACATTCTGTGACAGTTTGACACTAATCATCGAACTCAACAGAAAAGTACAGTTTAAAGTGTTTCATATAACTTCATGTTGAATCTAAGTGTCACGGGTTTGATCGCTGGTTTTGTTATGCGTGAAGAATTATGAAGAATTCTTTACCAGCATGATACAGTTGTGAAGCGTTCTCAGGTATTCAATGGCACCTTAACTGAGGTGAAAATGTATTGAGTACTGCTTACAGAATTAAATCGATCTCGACAAAATCCTTCCATATAAATCATAACAGTTAGTTCACTAGTGAATTACCTTAACATATCCCCTACGTTTTGGTAAAAAGCAGCGGCTAATGACGTTCAGACATGTTGAGAGTGGTAAAGTTGTCCATAATGGCGTTCGATGTCAAAGTTGGAACTGTATCATTCAACACAGACGCAGTTGTCCTATCGGTTAAACATTCATCACAAGATCTGAAGGTCCCAGGTTCGGACCCTGATGGGGTCCGGAGTTTAGTACTAGGACGAAACGTCTATTTAGAGCTCCCTGGTTCATGATGGTTTCACGACTGAAATCAATCTCTGACATACACTGTCTACGTAACACTATCTAATATTTTAAAACATCTTATTCAAGAGTCACGAACCGCAATGTATTCTCCAAGACACTGTTTGATATATATAAGTACAATCATGCAGCTTAAATAAATGAAAATTATCTGAACTGCATTGTCCTAGTAACAATAATTAGTAAAGAAAAGAATTACTGTTTAAATTTACTTAACATATCAATATAATTATATATATATAACTTCAATTTACTGATGTTGGTCAATCACCTTCCAATAGAATCGGTAGTCAATTGTTTCATGCCCAACATAACTGATCTGTACTGATCACGAATTCTCACTAGCACTGTGGGAATCGTCACTCGTAATTAGTCCCTGATGAGCTTATGATTTCTGCTATTAGTGTAATGGTTTTGTGGAAATTGATGAAAGCCTACACTACCAGCTGACTTTAGTTCAGTCATTTTTCAACTAAGACCATTTTATGGTGTTATTATGTCTTGAGACATTCATCGATCTCATGTGTTCAGTTCACCAACTAGAATTCTTACTATTTCTCGTCCACTACTTTTATCGCCTAATATCCTAGACCTGATCATTTATACGTCTGATCTGGACTGGTCACATTGAGCTGACTAAAGCTAAGCTCTTATTATCCCACAATCCACAAGGTTTTTTCTGTTTCTTGACTTGAGTTCAAAGAGAACTTAAAAGTTAGGCTCTGTTCAGTTCAATGATGATATAAAACTCGTCTATATAAATACATAGAGTGGAATCTTAACTGTACATCAACATGAGTAGGAAACTACAATAATGGCATAAATATGAGATAAATGAGAGAAAAATGAGCAGTAGGTTAGCAATAAATTAATAGTAATTTAGGAAAGGTACAATATACAATAACAGTTTATACATCACTAATACAATACAAGCATACAATCATTTATTTTAATAATAATTAAAGAACAAACATACAAACAGCAACTTCAAGCAGGTTATGATTCCGAAAGTTCAACTGTTCTAGCACTCGTCCCGTTATAACAATAATGTTAACTATAAAAAATAATCAAATAGTCTTATATCCTTAAAAACACGAAAGGAAATTTCCAGAGTTTTCATAAGAAGCCGTGACCAATAGAGTTCGACGGAGTCGCACGTGAGGCTGTTATTAACCAAAGACAATGTAAGATGGTCACATAATATTTGAAATTGATTGGAATTAGAAATTAACACTGTTAGACACTGACTCAATGGTCTAAAGGTTAAGAACGAAGGTACTAATTCCAACCACCACATGAGGGATGGTCAATGTGCACTGCATATAAATCACATACTAGGATGAAATAATCATCCAGTGCTTCTAGGTTTTCACTTGTAGTCAAACATTGAACGGTTTATGATTTTGAAAAAGAAAATCTGTTATATATATATATAACGTGATTTATATGAACCACTGAAAGTAAAATTAACTTGAACATTAAAAGATATCACTGATATCAGTGTTAAATAATCACTTTGATTAAACAGGTATGACAATAATCAAAAGAAAATAGTTAATTTTTTTCTTTTTTTTTCTTTCTTGGAAGAAATTGTACTCTCATTATCTACAATTGATAATCGTATAGATCATACATTTTCCTTTATGTTTGATCTTTTTTTTTTTGTTTTTTTTTCTTTAAATTAATTAAACAGCTGATTGATAAATAGGTTATTTTATTTCCCAGAACAAAATTTGGATTCTTTTTTGATCGACTTATTTATTTTCAAAATAAGTTTAATGATTGCCTAATGATGCTCTTATCTACCTGTTTGTCATACGCTCTTCTACTCTATCTCTTATTATACATATGTGTGTATATAAATCTACTTCGAGAGAGAGAGAGAGAGAGAGGTCGAATAGTAGTTGGTATCCCATTCTGATTGGTTAACTAAGTCTACCAATCATATTTTAGAGTAGCCTATTTTTGCTTACCTAAAACAAAAGACAATAAGTTTAGTTTTAGTTGTCCTTTATTATTAATAATATTATGATTACTATTATTAGTACTGTTGTTATCACCTATTCCACATCAGTAAATGAAATCATCCATTCAGTTGTTCGTTATAAGAGACTTTATTCATGGGATTATGATCTATCACCGTGATACATGTACGGTGATATGTGTGCATGCATGTAGGTGATCTTCAAATTCTCCAATACATACAAGCAACATTATTGTTTTTAGTGATTGTCTATTCAGTGCTAAAAATCTATTTTTTCTCATATATATTGTCAAAATGAAACTGCTTATCAGAATACCTATGGAATTAATTACTTAACAGTAAAAAGAAGCGATGTCTAACTATCCTGTTTATCATCCGATACTGCCTAATCAATCAGAATGGGATCCCGCTAGTGAAGTGGAACGTATAATGTGTGGAATTAGCCAACAAGAGTACCCTGTGATTACGAGTGGATCACATACACTACCTCGTCATTATCAATTACGTGAAGCAAATCCAATCACATTTAGATATCGTGCTATGAATGGAGGTGAGTGTAGTACAATAAACAGATATGATAAAAACATTCAACATGCTAATAAAATGTATCCATGGGGATCTCCAACAACAAGTGTCAGACAATTTACAACAACATTTCATCCATCTTACCAAACGTCTGTAGGTTATGATCCATCTGCATTATTTTCATCGTCACCTTCGTCAGTTCGCTCTGATGAACAACTGTATTATAGACAACAACGATTAGTAAAGCCTGTAAATCAATCAAGGTACGTATTGAGTACCAACAAAACATTTTCTACTGCTATCACTACTAATAGTACTACTACTACTACTACTACCACTGTTGCTTATCCACATAATAGGAATACAATGAACAATCATATTATGTATAATACATTGCAACTAACTGGACGTGTTAACCAACTCCCTGTTCAACAAACACCAATAAATCATCTAAATAATACAACACGCCTACAATATCCATCAGCTTTAGTACGAACAATTGTTAGAATGGAATCGTCGGGTTCTCAACAACCACAGCAACAACAACAACAACAGCCAGCTGATATACCACCGGCTTTACCATTAAGAGCTCAACGTTCTACAAATCAAAAAGTAACAGTACCTACTAAACCACGTCAATTAATTCCTATCCCATTGGAAGATCGTGTACAATTAGATCCAAATATGGTATTGTATAAACCTAATGCTGGAATTAATAATCAAAATAATTTTGACGATAACCTATCACAATCAATCTCAGTTCAATTAAATCATAAAAGAAATACATTTGATCTAGAAAGTCATTTAGACTGCTCATGTGATTATGTACGAGGTGAAGCTGGCTTGTGGCCAGCTGATGTATGGTTTGAACGCAATTTTCATACCGTTGATAAATGTACGTGCCCACATGAAGAAGTACATCGATTTTTTGATAATGCACCTTCAAAATGGAAATTAGCCGATACTATTGCCATGCTACCGATAAGAGAAACTGATATTTTAGACGATTTAATTGATAGTACAAGCGATGAAGACGAGTCATTTCATCGTTCACTACCATCAGTTATGATGGAGTCACCAGCAGACACAATTTCTAAAACAAAAATCGTAACAACAAACTATAATGATTTAAATGTGACTTCCACACCATCACTCAACATTCCAATGTCTAGTAATCTTAATCATGTACAGTCAGATGTGCAGAAAGATAAATCAACCTATAAGACTAGTGTTACATGTCATAATCCTGTTACAAATAACACTAGTAGTAATATTTTTTGCGATGAAGATGACTTAGTCCCTCTGGGTGAACTATTGTCGTCAAATACAAACTTACTAAGAACAATTTCAAATTTGGACAAACCAGAATTTTCTGTTGGTGAGACCACAGTAAGATTGACACCTGCATCGTCAAGAAAACAAAGCTTACTCTGCCTTAAAGAAGACGAAGACGAGAGGAATACAAGTATCTCTAGGAGAAACAGTTCTCAATTTATGGAACAAAGAGAACATATTCCTGGTGTAACGAAAGGGGTTGTTTCAACTGTTGCAATATACAGTGTACCTAATGATGCGCATTGTTTAGATGTTATCACCACTAATACTAGTCGACGTAAATCACCACCTGGAGAAACATCTTCACAGCTGTGGAAGGCACGGATCGCTGAACGTGAAGATAATATTCACAAAAACCGTGCAAAATCAATATATCGTCAGTTTGGAGATGGCCATTTGACAGGAAAAAGTTATATTAACACAGAAGGCACACACACAGAGGACGTGCTAATACTAAATAATTTAACTGATCCTGGTCGAAATGATATGGAAAGAAGCATCCAAGATATGATTGGTGAGGATAAAACGGAACAACAAAAAGAGGAACGAAAACAGTCTCTTTCTCCTTCTGTGAATCGATTTCTGGAACCAGATGGTTTTGTCCATACAGAAAATAAAGAGAATGCATTTCAGATCGATAATGTTGCAGAAGCCCTAGATCGATTACATCAGGATATGAGAAGTGCGATAGAAAGTAAATTAGTAGATAATTCATCATCGTCTACAATGAACAAGGAAGGATCATTAACAATTAGCCCTAAAATGGAATCGTGCTCAAACCTGTTAGATAAACAAAACAAGCATCTATACACTAAATATGACTGGAGAGATGAGAATAGGGAACTCAGCCAGAATAAAGAAAATCATTTAATCCATGATATTGAATTAATGGGGGGAGACAACAATACAGAACATGATCAAGAGATTGATGTGGATCATTACTTCCTCCAGCCTAGAAGGTCCACTTTAAAACTGGATGACAATGATTTATCAGTGATACGTTATCCAGGTTCTCGTAAATCCACCGGCAATAATTATATTGGTCATGTTCCTTCTGATAATCGGGAGTTTAATGACAAAACTCAAAATATTAGTGATAATGATGAAGAGAACGATGTGGGGGTACATTATTATGAAGATGATCGTAATTCGATGGTGGAGGAAAATGAGGAACTAAATCAAAGTATGGAATATAAATTGAACGATGAATTGACCGATCCTAGTTTATCACAAAAGTCTGGACAGACTATAAGGGTCAATAAATATGGAAGAGCTAAGGAACGATGGAGTCTTCTTCGTACACATGTTGGAAAGGTTGGCAGGCAGGTGAGCGATGTTTGAATAATTGCACATTTCATTTAAGCCTATCATGGGAATAATATTCCATGTTTATCGGATTGTCTGACTAATATTTGAATGATCAAATATATGTTATTTAAAAATCAATTATGGATACTGACTTATGTCAGACAGAAAATCGTTGAACTAAGGGGAAGAGAAGCGTTAGCTGTCTGTTACACAATGTTTTCGAAATCACTGAATGTATATATTCAGGTAACAGTTACGAAATCAAACTTAAATATTCAGGTATTAAGACAGATACGATCCCATTCGATAAATTCTAGTTAGTCTGGAATGAAGTGGGAATATTAAATAATATTATCAAAATGGAGTCCCCATTCACTTTTAACATGTAATAACCAGAAAAAGCAAATTGGTTGATGAGGTAGTGAGTATGAATCAATTAAGTTGGCTTGGACATGTGTCATGTACGCTCAGCCACTACCTGACTTGCCGTACAACGTTGGGTGGTATATGAATGAGTTAACATAAAGCTAAAGGTGGCTAAACCTAGACATGGGATCAGTATATAAGATTTATGACATTTGAACTGATTTTGTTGGTAAATGCAGATTATCGTAACGTATGGTCGGCGACATTGAATGAAATGGGTCAACTAAACAAAAATCGTTTATAATCTTACAAAAATCTATGCCATAATTGTAATTATAAACCCTCCCTATGATCACATTATTTTGATTTGATTTGGTTGAGCAGTTATCATCGTCATTTTGAACCATATCTTCTGTATTTATTTCATTTAGAATATTTTTTTATCACCACATAAGCATTAAATCAGTTTGTTCTAGTGTCTCTGTTTGTGGTTGACTGTCTTCGTAGATTCTCTTGTCTTTAACTATCTTAGTATTCAAATTAAAACAAAAAAATGGTCAGAGGTTAACGGAACAAGGTATTTAATTTGCATACTAGAGCAAATAAAGACAATCAAGCCTAAGAAGGCCACTAATCATAAACCAGACTAGCAAAATCTGATTTAAAGTTTGTAGAAAACTAGGAAGCTCACTTCTACAAAGTGTAAGTAACGATGACTTTCAGAAAAATGATGAAAGCCCTTTAATTAAACTATCTAGTTTGGGTAACTTAACAACGTCGAAATCACCCACCTGAGCTACAGATAATCTTTACCGTAGTATGCCATATTTAATTAGTATATTTAGTTGTCATTGAATAATAATGTTTTACATATTTCTTGAATGTTAACATTTCCAACTTTGGATAATTTGAAACAATAGGAGTAATCTTAGATAGTACTTTTTAGCCCTATATTGTGCTTTTATCTTATAGTATTGCTTATTCAGGATTTTTATCTTGCTATATTAAATGGAATAATGGGAAATTTGGCTTCATTTCTGCTTTGTTGTTTTATTAGAAATCAATACAGAGAGAGAGAGTCTTATTAGACAAAATTTTCTGTTTGTTAATGTTGAGTAAATCTTATAGAATCATCCATTCTGATTAGAAATCTGGCGAGAACTTCAAATAAGTATAATTTACACTAACCGTTATAAATTTGAATACATTGTGTTACTGATTTTTAGTTCGTTTAGTCCGTTTTCTCATATAGTTTCACATGGAATATGAAGAGCTTGAAAATGATCACTGAGTAGTGACCAGTAACATCCGGCAATTTGCCCCCAAATGCCCTGGTACAGCCGAGAGTGGGAAGAGTTCGCTCTCCTTCTCGAAATGCTCTCACATGGCCACGCGTATATAGCCCCTGCCAGGGAAGTCCTACTCACTGTCTTCTCGTGACGGGGGTGTTGTTTCGAAATTGAGAAGACGAAAAGCGAATGTCCGGCGCTTTATGCAGGTTGATGGATGTGGAGTGTCCACTTAGGGGAGTTGGAAAACCCTGATTCCAAACCAATGGTGCACATGGGCTCCAGTATCCTGAAGGAACAAATGGCGTATGAATCAATCGTTGGTCACCGGTTACCATGGGACCACATCTCCTTACGATGTTCCATTGCCTTGTGGATTAGACCTTCAGGTGAAAGGCTCCGGGTGTGATCCCCTAAGAAAACCACCTGTTTCAGTCTGAGCACCTGAGCAGTATCCCAGCCCTCACACAAATCAAAGGAGATTTGTGAGGCGCATATGTATCTGGTGCTTACTTGTACCAATATTTATGTGTTGAAATAAATAAATAGTTTAGTCCTTAATCCCGATTGAATTCTATCGATGAGTTTGCAATGTAGCCACTTTTCAAACTGACTATTTACTGATCAGTCGACTGTAAATATCTTAATGCTACAGGAGATCAATTGAAGCTTCAATAGTTCAACTATTATGTCTTAAAATCTTGAAGTTGGATGGTATGGATTAGAATCTCATGGAGGATTTCAGGCCTCTCAAGATTGCATCAATGCGTTACTGGCGTTACTGCTGGCTGGCACGACACCCAAGTCAAGTGAAGTTTCCTACTGACTACCTCAACCACTTGACAGATTCAAAATCAATAAAGCTAACACACAACAGGAATTGTTTTACTTGTACTGTTTTCATTAAAGCATAGAGCATTGAATCTATATGACTTTAATGTCTGACTTTTTATAATGACATGAAAATAGAACGAAAACAAGAACTGACAAAGAGTAAAATAACTAGATTTTAATTCTTCACTTTTGTAAATAAAAAAGATAGAACAATCTGAAACTAGATATCAATCTGTCCTTCACTTTATGACCTTAACCTTAAATGCCTACTATTTTCTTCTTTATTCATTCATGATAGATAAGAATTTATTCCTAAAATATAAAACAACATTTATTACTGGTAAGCAGAGATGGATAGTGGCTAGCAGTGGAATCCAGTTTGATGCGCTTTTCGTCCTATTTGGCACTCGTCAGCTGGAAGTACCTGCATCTCAGAGTTGATGTTCGCTCTGGGACTCGAACCTAGTACCCTCGCTTCAAACGCCATCACGTTATCTACTCGGCCACTGAGTCCTGACAGCCACTTCACCCCATCGCACAAGCAAGTGGCTATCAGAACTCAGTGGCCGAGTGGATAACGCGATGCGTTTGAAGCAAAAGGTACTGGGTTCGAGTCCCATAGTGAACATCAACTCTGAGATGCAGGTACTTCCAGCTGACAAGTCCCAAATAGGACGAAACGCGCATCAAACTGGATTCCACTGCTAGCCACTATCCCTCTCTGCTTACCATGCTTGTGAATTAAGGCTATATCGAGGCAATACACACATTATGCACATATGCCAATTAGAGACTGACCAGTTGCAGTCCTAACAAATCGATGGGAAGATTCAAGCAAACAATACTAAGTGAATTCAACATTTATTACTATATATGAAAATAAATATGTTTATTCAAATGAAAAGTATTTACGTTTTTGGTGTTAGAATAAAAAAGGTGAAAACGAAACGGCTTCATATTTAAAAGGAGGACATTAGAAATGAAGAAGTCGAGTAGACTTTCTTCAAACTATTATTTTATAATCTTTTTTTCTTTTTTCTTATTCGACTAACACTTATGCATACAGGTTTCCTTTAGTTATTGAATAAACAAATATATGTACAAATGATTGTTATATGTTTAGTCGAAAAATATTGAAAAACAATCTCTGATTTCAATTTACCGCTCCATTTGCATTATCATCTTGATAATCGTTGATCTAATCAAATATGGAACGATATTTTTGTTTAAAAAGACAATCGTACTATTATATATATACTACAGAACGCATGATTAAGCGTGAATTAGTCAACTTTTAGCCACTGAGTTACTAATTTCGGGTAAACAGCCGTAAAGTATCACTAGTACTAGTATAAATCAGTGTGACTCCAAGTTTCATACATTTACGTGTACTAGGCACTAGTTACGTTATTACATAACAGGCTGACCTTAGTTAGAGAACTTATGGAAACCGAAAAGTACCAGACAGCTGTTGGAACATCCACGGTCTCACTGAAAATTAAAGTCAGGATCCCCAATTCTGGTCGGTCTGGTGGAGAGCGGTTGATATTCCAACCATTGAATCAGTGTCAAATAAAGTACATTTTTAACTACAATAGATTCTTGACAGTACGTAATCATTTTTTGATCCGATTAATGAATAAATGACTCACTCTCAATATGGTTAGACTTTATTGGTTACGGCTCCTCACTAGCGTGAAATATCTGTCCAACGATCCTTGATTTTCGATGGTTGTCTGACTAAAATCACTCCTTAATGTAAACTATCAAATTCAGTAATCTTCGCAACACTCTATGATAAAAAAATCATCATTATTATTGTATCTGAAGCAAATCGATAGAATAATTTGTTAGTTGTCTGTTTTGCAGAAATAAATTCTGAAATATTTTAATCGCCTGGATGTTGTACTCCGTCAACGAGGAATTGAACTTATTTACACATTGAGATACTTTACTGTTTTTTGTCAAGTACAGTTTGTTTCTTTAAGTTTCTTAAATCACAACTAAATATCGTCTATCTATGATTTAGTCGGAGGCACTTTGTTAGGGGAATGACTGATAGCCTACTGATGAAATGATGGGAATAGTCCTTGTAAGCTGGGCATAGTGTTTCCTTTTATTAAATGTTGTCATGATAAATTGTCCTACAACATGTTTCTTAACGGTTAGTTGCTGGAAGTCGTCCAATTTATAGACTTGTTACTCGAAAAGAAATGAAGAATTGTATGTAGTCCATTTATTCTCTATTTTGTTTCATTTTTTCAGTAAGTAAAATCTCTATCTGGGGATTGCTGAATTTTATAGTTTACATTAAGAAGTGATTTTAGTCAGACGACCATCGAAAATCAGGGATCGTTGGACAGATGTTTCACGTTAGTGAGGAGCCGTAACCAACAAAGTCTAACCATATTGAGAGTGAGTCATTTATCCATTAATTGGATCAGAAAATGATCACGTACTGTCGTGAATTGATTGGACTTAAACATGTGAACCATTGATGTCAACTTAGTGGTCTACAAGTTAAGCACT